GTACGAGTCGAAAATAAGATGTACGTACTTTGCTTATGCAAACAACAATGTCCGTTTATCAAGGAACACCAGAATTCGTGGCCCTATCCCCATTCTTGGAAAGAAAAAAAAACTGAAGTCAGCTGCCTCTTTTCTCATCATGTTTGCCATTTCTGTCCGCAAAAGTCCGGAAAAGTCCGTAGAAGTTCGCATTGACAGTGACTCGTAGAGTTTTGCAGAAACAGGCATCTTATTATAGCAATTTCAAATTTTTTTATTTTTAGCTCAAGTGGAAATTCAGACTGTGGAAAAGTTTTTGGGCTTTTGACGGACTTTTCACGGACTTTTCGCGCATTTTTGTTTTGAAAAGTACCTGAAAAGTCCGGAAAAGGTCCGAAAAATCTGAGTTTCGGACTGAGAAAGTCCGCGGGGCTCAACACTACACTAAAGGTACACATATGACTTATGACAGTGCAGACTACAGGTCTAGCATACGACACAAATGCGCTGTTCTACATTTTTTTGGACGATAAGACAATATGTACTTTTCTAGAATACCCTATTTTGTTCCTCGTAAAATTCTCTACAAGATGTAGCGCAGAAAACTGCTTTACCATCTGGCCTAAATATCGTTTTCAATTCATGAAATATTCTTTTTATGAAAAATGTCAAAAAGAGCGCCATTCTCAGTTGCGTTTTTAAGAGACGGTCCACGAATTCACCACCCAAACAAGTGGCCGACGAATTTTTTTTTCAAAAATTTTTTTAGCCAGTTGGATAGATCAACTCAAATTAGTAATAGGACGGATGTACTTAAATTATTTACAGTCACTAGACTATTAGCTGTCACTAAACCCAAATGCCCAAGCAGACCTGATGAACTTGCTTCCCACTCTGATGATGCATAATCCTGTGACAAACTAACGGGAATATAGGCCTTGCTATAAGGTGACAATTTCAAACGTCTAGCGGCATAAACCGGAATAGATAATTTTCCTGCCTGAAGGAGATCAGTAGAAAGCCGAAACTTCCTTGTCGGACAATCGCGACGCCAAAGACTACTGCCTTTGATATCTAACACTATTCCTGCAGAATTCATGAAATCATTGCTAATCAAAAGTGGTTGATTAAACTTACGCGCAAGAACAACGGGAAAACTTATCGCGTGATCTGCTAGTGTGATAACAGCGTCTATAATTCCTAATGGTTCTACGGAACTACCTTCCGCACCAACAATAGCTGGGCCGGAATAGGGTCTTATCTGCTCACTTCTTCCGATCAGCTTCCAGTAATGGTGACTTACAAGCGTCATACCAGCTCCCGTATCAATTGTAAACATACCTTCAACTTGATTCAACTTACCTTTTGCAACGACGGAACCACGTGCTAATTGATAGGTTTGTTGTTCTTTACATGAAGGAGATGATGGCTGATCAATACCTACCTGATTGATATTGACTACGAAACTGCCAGACTTTCTTCTTTTTGCATGCCGTTTATTTCGGCCAAAGCATTTCTGTTGAAGATACTTCTGTCCTTCTTCACACAACTTCTCTGAATCTGTCACACAACTTTCTACTCTTACTTCATCCTGACAACTGGATAAGGAAGTTCTAGAATCACTACTAGAAGAAATTTGTCCTGAATCCTTATCACTAATTGACGAAGAAAACGGTAATACGAATTCGGATGATGGAGATAGTTTATTCGTTGCGGGTGAATCATTTAAATCTGGTAAAATGGATATATCAGAAGAAACTATGCTCAAGGCAGTGACTTTATTATTCAATTTAACTGTTCATTGCAATTTGATGTCTGTTCTTCATGTAATAATGGAGTGTGCAAGTAATTAGAGGAAGGAATATTATTTTTGGAAACTAGTTTTTCCTCTATAAAACTGTTTCCGTTGATTTTTAAATTTGGATGTAAAATAAAACAACTGTCCTGTTGGTGTCCTTTTTTCTGACAATGTGTGCACGTAGGCGCATTATTACATTTACTGGGTTGATGACCCGTTTGCCCACACCATTGACATGGACGGTTTGAATAAAGACGTGATGATCGGCGAGAATATGAATTCGAATTTTTATTTGCCTTATCAGACAGATTTTGTTTAGCGAGCGGATCTGCTGATGGTGGAAAAGATGCATTTTTATGTTCAACGGTCGTACTAGCCATATATTCAAAATGTTTAGCTAACATGGGAACAGAAGAAGAAGCATTTTCGGCTGACGTTGTTAGCGGCGCGACAACAGCTGGTGCTGGGGATTTCCCTCTATTGGCTCGACGCTCTTGTTGTTTCCGATGAAGAATAGCTAATTCGGCGGCTTCGGCACGACGCACAACATCTTCTAACGTACCTTCGACATTACTCGCCATTCGAATTTCAATGTCGGCATTTATTTTTCTAAGAAAACCTTTTGTCATCTTTTCTGAAGAAGTTAAAGGATCAATTTCGATATTTAAACTACGATAACGTTGATAGAAATCTACTACTGACTCTCCTTCTCGTTGCATACAATTCTTACGCTCAAGTTTCAATGTTTCAACTCTTTCAGGCGAACGGAATCTCGAAAGAAAAATCTTTTTAAATTCATCCCATGTCTGTGGAAAATCATTTGATTGCTTCAGTAATGAAAACCATTCAGCTGCTCCACCACTTAACCATTGTCCGACTGAATCTAACATTTGACTTTCTGTCCATTTAAACATACTCAGCGCTTGCTGACGATAGTCATGCAAGAAACGAACAGGAGCCTCATTAGTCTTACCAGAAAATTTATTTGTTGAGTCGGGTGCAGTTATGACAAGAGACGCTGCGGCTGAAATTAATGTATTGGGACTCGAAACTGTTGCTGCCTGAAAACTAACTCTTTCTCCTTTTGGTGGTGATATTTTTGGAGACAAAACGACACTCTGAACTCGGATTGGTTCTGGTTTTACGATCATATCAGTGGCAGGAGGAATATTTGAAAATTCAGCTAATGGAGGAGTTTGTGTTGTACAATCTCGACTCGGTTTATCAGCGATATCGACAGAAAGACGGCTGTCGATCATAGAACGAGCTCCTTGCAACTGTCGCTCATACATTTCTTTCGTAATTTTATTTACTAATTCTTGTTCATGTAAACGTTGTTTTTGTTGTTCTGACTGACTTTTCAACAGTCGTACTTCTTCATTTTCTGAATCTACCAAGGGGACAACAGCTGACGCACTTAAAATGGGAGGAGTACTTGGTGGAGAAGAAACTAATGGTGTCAAAACCGGTTGGGAAGAGGCTGGTGGTGGAGTAGAAGCCACTTGTTTTGCTAACGTCATTACAGCCTGAAGCATTTCGCGTTGATTAGCCTGATTATCAGCAATTACAGCTGTCAGAACGTCTACTGGTACGGTTGATTGTGGTCTGTAGCCAGAACGAAGACTCTGCTGACTATAATGATGTGATGAATGCTGGCTTAAATGAATAGAATTTATTGACTTAGAGTCAGAAACAGGAAGCGGTTTAACACGAATACGTTCTGTGTGTGCTGGAGACATAGATTGAGTAAGAATTGTCTCAATTTCGTCAGATAGTGCACTATCTCCTGTACTATGAGAATCACAATACATGTTAGATACGTAATGCACAGAAACAGAGGAAAACTTAATTCAGATACTGACGAAAAGACGCAGTAAGAAATTGAAATTAACACGAACAATTAACGACTCACCCAGACGATGACGTCATCAGGTATTTAATCGTACAGTGAAATAGATAAAATTAATTAATAGATGGTCGAAGGATAAATAACAAATAATTCGATAAATGTCGAAGGTAACGAGATGACGAAAATAAATTGGAATAATGGTGATAATAAAAATAAAATTATTGTCTTGGCTTGATCAATTTTGGTGTGGAGAATATCCTTCCTCGGTCACCAGTTGTGACGACCCGGACACTAGTCGCACAATGAATAATCTCTCTCTACACACCGATCCAGGTGCCGATCCAAATACAATAAAGAAAACAAGAACGGATGATGAAGATATAATATAAAAATATAACAAAATAAATGTACAGAAAAATATAATATATAATCATAAAATTAAAAATTAAAAATAAAAATATGACTCAAACATCAAGAGTCGCGGGAGAAAACTGCTGAGCAACAGGAAAATACGAAGAAGAAAAAGAAGAGAAGATAAACAATCAACGAACAAAAATAAATAAATAAATAAATAAATGAGCAATCAGACAAGGAACAAGAAAGAGATGATAAAAATGTAACGGTAATATGACCGTTACAGGGGGGTATGGGTGGAAATCAATATTTTTGCTATAACCCGGGATCCACTGGTCCGATCATGCTCATCTACGAACTCGACCGAGATATCCATGAGAGGATCCCACACAGAAAATTTCATGACAATCGGTTCATGCGTTCAAGAGTTATCGTGCGAACGGCCGGACACACAGACCGATTTTATAGTGTACTCACATTTCATGAAGTACACAAAAATGATCAGTTTTGATTGAAAACTAGTCAATTTTGATGAAAAAGTGGCTAGTTTTGATCAGAAACTAGCCACTTTTTAATCAAAATTTGACTATATAGTTTTCAACCAAAATTGATCATTTTTTTATGAAAATTGACATAGAACTCACGGTTTCGGATAAAATATTACGCCGAATTGCTTTTTTGCGAATAATTTGATGCCGAGATTGGTATGTTTAACTGAAGAGTGTTGACCGCGGTCGGATGTGTGACCTCTCTCGCGCCCCGTGTGATGACGGAATATCCGCACAGCCATTAAGTTACCACATAGCGAGATTTATAAGCGTCTCAGTTGTTGGCGTGTCACATACAAACGACGCGCTTGAAGAGGTTCCCTCGTTAGATTCTTCTGCACCTTCGCACCTACCGGCCCCCATCGACAGCTATCAGCACCTACCAGCACCCATAGGTGCTGAGGCACCGGCAGTTCCCCCCTGGTTTGAACAGTTCCGTTATTCACAAACGCGCCTAACGCATCCCAATTTTGAAAAACCCTTCAAACGCTTTTGTTTTACAAGAAGCGGTACAAATGCATTTTTGAATCAAAATAAATTCTAACGCGTTTTTGTTTTCATTACAAACGCGTTTCAGGCGTTTCTTAATTACAAAACGAAACAATGTGGTTTTATGTTACAAACCGCACAAAAGTAGTTTCTTTCTATAAAACGCAATAAACGCGTTTTTTTTTACAAAACGCAAGAAATGCGTTTTATTTATTGCAAAATGCAAGAAACTAATCACTGCACAGTAAGGATGATCAAAATTGGCTATAACAAATACTTTACTGAACGAGGGAACGGTTCCAAGTGGTGAAAACCTTGTGAGTCCATGTTTTGATCAACAGTAGGAGATCACTAGACTAAAACAATCTTCAAAGAGTTTATGCTCTGAATATTATCAACAAGTTATTCAAATACCAATATGTTTTCATGTGTTAGATGTTGCACAACAAATACAATTAATGTTTAAAAGAAAAGATTTTTTTCAACAT